TAGTTTATAGTCGAGTCGGACTTATGATTAGTTTTGGAATTTCCGAGGACGGAAATATTTTAAGGAGGATAGATTGTAACGCCCAGATTTTATTTACTATTTATGGAGCTCAACTATATTTCCATAAATATTAAGCTTTTAAATTTGATGCATTATTTATATTTACTTGCATTAAATTAAATAATTAGAATTAAAGTCTAAGCCATTAATAATTCATCCGACTTTAATTATTAAAGTTGGAATTTTATTTAAGTGATCTGAAATTGGATAATTTGATTATTCGAGCCTGATTAATTTTGAGCGAATCCGATAATTTCAGTCGGCCATTTTAATTCGAATAGTCGAATTAATTCCCAAGACCAAACGATATTTTAATATTGAGCCATCGTAGTATTTTAATTCCGGGCCCATTATTAGTAATTATTTCGACCGACTAATTTAATTAGTCCTAGTTCGATTAATATTATTTAGCAAGCCCGAGCATTTAATTTCCTAAGTTCATAACCGATTTATATTCGAGCCCAACTCGTAGGATTTTAGGCCCGACTTTCTAGCCCGATTATTGGCCCAACAAAAAAGAAACCCTAAGCTCCCCACCCTTCTATAAATAGCTTGTCCCCCAACCCCCAACATCCTACAAAAAGAAAACTCTAGCCACCATAATTACTATTCATCTTCTTCCTCATCAAACCATCACCATTTTAGCTTCATTAATCAAGATCCCTTCTAAACCTTCAATAATCCATAGCTAATATATCAAGATCCATGGCTTAAGCTCCACCATCTTCATTTTCCGACCAAAAACCGACCAAAATCCGGCGATACCTTGAGCCGCCGTCAAACTCAAACCCGCAGCACCTCCCAGCTCCATTGTTTCCGGCGACTCAAGCTCAAGGCCGTCCTCCACGGCTCCGAAATTGCAAGCCCCGTCGGCCAGCTCCATTTTTCCGGCGGCAGCTTCAAGTTCCAGCCCAAGCTCGCAGCTCAAGCCCTGCTCCATTTCCGGCGACCTAGCCCGCAGCTCCCAGCTCGCGTGTCGCCACCACGCGCCGCCGTCCTCAGCCCGAGCTCCGCGACCAACAGCTCCTTCTCAGCCCGCTCGTTTTTCCGGCGACCAAGCTAAGCCCCGTCGAGCTTCCACCATTTTCGACCAAGCTTAGCCCCTTTTTTCCGGCGACCCGCGGCCCTTGCACCAGACCCGTCCAGCACCTCAAATCCGACGGAAACAGCAAGCTCTGTCCACTGTAGCTCGGTTTTTCGACGACCAGCCCCCAGCTCGGCCACCATCTCCGTTTTTCCGGCGAAACCAGTTTCTTCTCGCCGGAAAATAGCCCCTCCGAACTCCAGCAGCTCCCGTTCACGACCAGCTACAGTCCACGTCCGACCAGCAGCAGTTTTAATCTATTTTCAGCAGCATTGAAGCTTTAGATCCGGTCCGATTTGTTCTTTGCCTCTTATTCTTACCCGATCTATTTTCGGTCCTCCCGATCCGAGTCGTTTTGAGGTATAATTATTAAATCTCGGTTTTGATGGCTTAGACATAATACTTGAATTGATATGAAAGAATAAATTGGAAGATTTGAGTGATTTTGAATAAATCGGGATTTTCGGGCTTAAAGCTAAAATGTTCGACTTTTTGAATAAATGCGATAAAATGTTGAAATAAATACT